ATAATATGCATATTTGAAGCTTAATTTTAGGAAATTATTGGGATAGATAAAACCATTTAAAATCTGATTCTTTTTTCTATATATATATATATATATTAATTTGAATTGAAATAGATAGTTATTTTCAGAAAATAACCACCACACACATGGCAAATGACTTTTAATGAAATATAATTTTAGACTTGTATGAAAAAATATAAAATAATGACTTTTGGTATATTTAGGGTGGATGGAAACTTTAAATAGATTAATTTAAATTAAAATATTATCAAATTTAAATTTTAAATTGGTAAAAAAAATTTTATACATCTAAAAATTAATAATTCATCCTTCATCTAACTCCAAACCTGAATAATATATTATATATTATATATATATATAATAATAATAATAAACCATTTGAAATCTAATCCCAAATTTGACTCCGAAGCACAAAATAGTAGGAAAGGCATCCCGAAGCATATAATTACAGCAAACCTAAAATTAGATATGTGGTATTTTCTCATAGCATTTAACCCAACTTTTATATATATAATGATAATGATATTATTAGGTTCTATCATAATTAACATATTAGGATGTGTAATTTGGTTCATTTGTCTTTATTTCTTTATTCATTAGGATGTGTAATTTGGTTTATTTGTCTTTATTTCTTTATTTCATTCTATTATATTATAATCCTTTCCAACAACCAAATAGGTCCTAAATTATTTGAGTGCTGAAGTATGATAGGCATTGACTACAAATCGACTTGAATACTGTGGGTTTTCCTTTTGACCGAAGTGAGCTTATAGTTTAGTTTATTTAAACTGATATAGTCCTCCTTTTGTTCACTTAGTCATTTTAGAACCATAAATCCTAGAGATCGCCTATTAAAGCAAAGATGTTGCTGTATGTTAGTGCCTGTAAAGATTTTTAAAGGATATCTGTTTAAATGGTCTTGTTCATGTTTTAAGTTACACTACTATGCAGTTAAATTTTAGTCCTGCCAGAAGTTAAGAGGAATTATTGCTACCAGTTTCATACAACATGCACCAAAGCACATAACCAAAAAAAAAAAGTTTTGCATCAAGACTCAACAGTACTTCAATTGTCATATAGATATTAATTACCCAAAATTTGACTCTAATTTTGTTTCATTCTATTGTGCTTGATCAGAAACAATTATGTTACACTAATTCCTAATCCAATGGATGAGGATACTGACGGTTATACCCAACAACTGACTTTTAGGTTAATTCTTTTGTTTCTACATTGTCGTGTATTTTGTGCATCCATAGATGCATATTTTAAGGATACAAAGTGATTGTCCAAGAAATAAAAGGAAGACCACTAAGGGCTTATATGCAGCTTGGTTGATGTTATACCTTCTATAACAATAGATGTTGTTTGTTTGCATTTGACATTTTCTTGGTAACCTTTGTACTTTGTTGGTTTTGAACCCATATGCAATGGTGGATTCAAACATTCTATGATTGTTTTTATTAGTTTAATTTGTTACATGGGAGTTAGAATATAGTTCCAAAATGAACAAACATTAAGTTGACAATATTGTTGACTATCTACTTGAGATTGCGGGGAAGAGAAAAGTGGAGAGAAAACTGCATTTTTCTCCATGAGGCTAAAGGGAAAAAATGGGAGAGCGGGAAAGTTGGAGTGAACATGTTTTTTCTCCAATTTTTTTTTTCAAAAAATAGGGAGATTTTGAACAAAAAACACTAGTTCTGAATTTATCCTCAAATATTTTCTATCAATTTTACTGTTTTTGGTTGTAGTTTAAAATTTTGATTATTGTATTTCTAATAATTTGAGAAATAAAATTTAAAATGAGATAAAATAATTTGAAATTATATTTTTATTCCATTAGTAAAATATAATGTAAATTATATACTAAATAATATATTGAAATCCTAATTTTTATTATATATATAAATATTTTTTTAAATAATAAGGTTGTTATTATTCATATGAAATTAAGAATTTTTTCCTTCTCCTAGTTTTATCTTGCTTTGCCAGCTTAATGAGAAAATTATAGGGTTACAGTGTGTTTTTTCGAAAATAAAAGAAAGTTATTTGAGAGTGCTTTTTTGTCATCTATTCTGTTGATAAAAAAGTTAAAGTTCTGAAAATTAAAGAAACTAGAATTTTTGTAGTCTTGCTACTTTTTATTTTGCAATAATAAAAAAAGAAACAAATATATTTTTATCAATGGCAATTTTCTTGTTTGATTGATATTTGTTGGAAGTCTCAATTTCTCATCAGTTTTGTTATGCAAAAGCAAGCACAAGAAACTCTTTCTACCTCATTGGTTCTTTGGTAGATTCACAACTTCTAACTTAATAATGATCTCTCTCTCACTTGTTTGAAAGTTTACTACATCATAAAAAAATTCCTCTTGAAAGGATTACTCTGAAAGAATCACTTCAATGCTGTTGACATTAACATTTTTGCTTTGCTTGCTATCTTTTAGCATGTTCATTTTGACGTCCTATAAAAAGACTTTCTTTTGTGTTTATAGTTTTTCGGCCATGGTTGCTCAATAATACTTTAGCTTTTAAGTTTTTTATTTATTGCTTTGATTTGCTTCAAAAACTAATGGTTCTTTCATCCTTTATTTCACTATTTTAGATATGTTTTTAAAATAATGATTCAAACAGATAACTTTTTTTTTTCTCTCATTACACATTTCCAAAACTTGTTCTAAAAAATTACTTTACAAAATTGTTTTGAAAACATGAAAACAGAAAATATAATCAAACAAGCCATATATCTCCTTATTTTTCTCTCATATATTTTTTTTTCATTTTCCAAAGTATTTTCACAGCTGACAGCTATGAGACTAAATCTTTAAGAAATTTTAGCATCATTTAAGGGGTTATTCTCTCCTAAAGAATGCTCTCCATATTTCTCCTATTATTTTTTCTTCTCCCTAATGTCTTTTATCATTGAAACAATGTTTTGAGATTTATATTAAAACAATTTTGGAGTTCCCTTTTTCTACCCTACCCCCTGAAAGTAAGAGGAGTAAAAGCATAAATATATGGAATTAAAATAAAATATTGATGACATTATTCTTCAAATTTACATTTTACAATTTATTACCATTGAACATACTAAAAATATGAATATCTTATTTTTAACCAAAACATATTACCTACATTAAAATAAAAAGGAAAATTTTAAACTACATAAATTAAAATTTTTGTTAATATAATATTATAAAAATATAATTTTAAAATAATTTTTATTGGAAAATATTACATTCTTCTTTTCCAAGAAAATATTACATTCAAATATGTGTAAAAATGTTATAATAAAAAATTAGTAATGAAAATGATAGAATTTTGAATTTTTGTATTTTTTTTTTTTGAACAACCAATAAATCTTGCATAAAGTTGGAAAACAGTTAAGTTGTGCCTATATGGGCTTTGCCCTATCAGACTCCCACCCATATATGAAGTTATCCCAAAATCGATTGTTTTCTTAAATCCGACACTAATTTAATGAGTTTAGAATAAGGCTAGTAAGCCTTTTTTATTTTTTATTTTTTATTTTCAAAATTAATTCTTACATTATGATATTATATATTTTTAAAATATAAATTATAACATTAAAGGTTTAAAATAAATAATATAAATTTTAATTTTAAATTATAAACATATATTCAAAAGTCTAAATTTAATTTTAAAATTAAAAATATTTTATTTTTCAGGGATAAAATAAAAATGAGATTCAATGTGCCACTCAAGCTTGTTTTTGCGAGGCCCAAAGGGGCGGAGCTTAGAAGTTTGATTGGGCAAAAATTTCTCAATTTTTCAAACACAAACCTTAAAAAGCAAGTTTAAATGATTAGCTCATCAAATTTAACTCGTATTTTTAACTCTAATCATACAATCTTTTTGTTTAAATTAAAGAAATTATATATTACTTCAATATCAACAAGGAGGCCATAGAAATTGTAAATAATTAGGATCATGACAAAAAAAAAATCTGAAATATGCAAATAACAAAACAAGTATCTTGAAATGTGATACTAAATTGTGTAGTTTTTAGGAAGTTGTCTAGCATTTAAATTTTTTGTGAAATGACACATTTGCCTTCAATTTAAAATTTGCAAAGAAATACTTGTCATTTACTATTAAATTATAATCATTTCCCTAAATAAAGTAGTCATTTCTCAATTATAATTAGTAAATGATTTTTAACAGACACACTTGACTTATAAATAAAAAAGAAAGAAAGAAAATTATCATTTTCTTTTCTGTTTTAGTTAATAGCATAACTAAAGTAGTTACTCTTTTTGTTTTTTGGGACTTGACTAATTTTTTTTTTTTTTTGCATAAAGGCATTTGTTATTTGTTATTCAGTTGTAAACATTTCCCCAAAGCAAAATAATCATTTTCCAATTGTAATTAGTATTTGATTTTTAGTAGTTGCACTGATAAACACAAATGGAAGAAAAATTTATCATTTTTTTGTTTTATTTAATAACACAAACAAAATAGCCAGTGATTTAATTATATGAAAACGTTGCAGTTTTCTACATGATTTTATTTCTATTTCTTTATACAGCTTTTCTATTGGCCTTATATTAAAAAAAAAGGCAGTCATTGATTTTTTTTTAACCATTATTTTCCATTTTAAGATAAAATTAAGGGCCAATATATTATTTCACAAATTTTAAAAAAATGCCTATCAAGTCCTAGGGCTATAAATTGTCACGATTTCATGGTAGTTTTATTTTGTTTTTGTCCCGTAACAATTGTCCAAGTGCTTCCCCCATAGTAAAAACCTCAAAAACCATAATTCTCACAGAGAACACTCCCTGAAGCCATTCTTGAATTTGCAAGGCACATTACACAAGTACCTCATCCTACCAATTTGTGTGGTCTTTTTGCAGATTGCTTTGTATATCCTCTTCTGATCAGCAGCGAAAGCACGTGCCACACAGTGACTCTTTTATAGGTGAAAGCTGCGATGGCCACACTTAATTCTCACCGATGTTGTCACAGTATGTCTTCTGCAAATTTCCTTTGCTTTCGACATCGTCTGCATCTTTCTTCTTGCTTTCCCTTCCTTTTGCCCTTTCTATCAACTTCAGGTTTCATTCCTATGGCTCAAATCCTCGCAACATTGAAAAGTCTGTCACTACTTTCCACGCCTTGCTTCATAGGCATCCTCGTCCCTCTACAATCCAAATTAGTAAGATTTTAGGATCTATTACACGGATAAAATATTTTCCTACTGCTATCTCCCTTTTCGCACAAGCTGAATCCAAGGGATTCATGCCATGTTTGGTTGCACTGAACATCTTGATTAATTGTTTCTATCATGTGGGTCAAATGACTTTAACTTTCTCTGCCCTAGGCAAGATTCTTAAGGTGGGCTGTCAACCAGATACGATTACTTTGAATACACTGATGAAGGGCCTTTGCATCAATAATGATGTTGTGAAGGCCTTAGATTTTCATGATGATCTTGTAGCAAAAGGGTTTCAGTTAGACGTAGTTAGTTATGGCATACTCGTCAATGGGCTTTGCAAAATAGGGAAAACAAGATGTCCAGTTAAATTGCTCCAAAAGATGGCTAGGGGATAGGTTAAGCCTGATTTGGTTATGTAGAATAAAATTATTGATGGTTTTTGCAAGGAAATGTCTCCTGATATTGTGACCTACAACTCTCTAGTACATGGTTTTTGTTCTATGGATAAGTGGCTAAAAGCTATAAAATTGTTTAATCAAATGATACTTGAAGGCATCAACCCTAACATTCATAGTTTTAATATACTGGTCGGTGCATTTTGTAAGGAAGGGCGTGTCACCAAAGCTAAAGCTATTGTTGGCATGATGATGAAGAGTGGTGTGAAACCTGATGAAGTCACTTACAACTCTTTAATGAATTGGTACTGTTTGATTAATAATGTTAGTGAGTTAAGTGAATTGTTCAATAAGATGGTCAAGAGTGGCTTGGCTCCTAATATTATTTGTTATAGTATTTTAATTAATGGATTTTGTAAAATCAAGACGGTAGATGATGCCTTTGATCTCTTTAAAGAAATGAAGCGCAAAAATTTGTTTCCTGATATTGTCACCTATAGCTCTCTTGTTGACGGTTTGTGCAAATCAAGGAAAATGTCATTTGTGCAGAATATTATTAATGAAATGCACACTAGTGGTCATACCCTAGATATAATATTTTATAATATCTTGTTAAATGGATTGTGCAAAAGTCATCATCTCAATTAGGCAGTTGCATTATTTAAGTGAATGGTTGACCAAAGAATTCAGCTTGATTCATGCACTTATACCATACTTCTCAATGGTTTGTGTAAAGGTAGTAGATTAAATAAAGCGTGGTAGATTTTTCAATATCTTTTAGTCAATGGCCATCCTTTGGATGTCCAAGCATATAATGAAATGATCCATGGACTCTGTAGAAAGGGATTGTTTGATGAGGCAAAGGCATTGCTTTATAAAATGAAAGAGAATGAGTGCCCCACTTGATTTTGTAACCTTTGATATGATAATTAGACCTCTTTTGGAAAAGGGTGAGAATGATGAGGTGAAAGATCTTTTGCATGAAATGTTCACTGGAGGTTAGGGTTAGATACATTGCTCTAGATTTTTTTTTATTGGCAGTCACTTTTGTGGTGATATTTGTTGTAATATTTAACAAATTTGTTTCTCTTAAGTAAACTTTGTGGAGTACATAAAAGCAGCATTTGGCAAATGATTATCTATGGGCTACAAGGAGGTTCAGAATTGTTGAATTGTAACTTCTAGGAAGTTTTCATTTTTCTTCCTGTAAATGTTGATGATTTAAGTCTAATATTTAAATTGAAGTCTAAACAATAGTTATTTTCATTGGCCATATTATTTATTTTTTCAACAGAAAACTGTGGACGAGCTTGTTATGAGAAAGCTTGTGGATCATCATTAAGGAACAATTTTATTATGTTGTCTTTGCTTGATATTCCCCCCAGATTTTAACATTCATTTTTAGGGAGTCAAAGTTGAGATTTGAAAGCAACTACATCGATCTCCCTAAGACTGCATCCTTTTCAGTTTTCATCACGATATTAATATATCCAAGTTTACTTGAATGCAAACGTAAGGCTATTGGCAAAAAAAAAAAACACATATTTTTCATTGCCTTCTCTTTAGTCATTTATGAAAATAGCCTGAATTTGCTTACTAGTTGTGGTTTTCTAGTTAGTAGCTGCCTGCTGGGTATTTTTCTTCTCTTCACTAGTTTTTCTCATGTTACTCATCTAAATTAGGGGTAATATAATTTTCTTGTCAGATAGAATAGGTATACCACTAAATCATAGAGGTGTAACTTCTTTGACACCTGTTTGCTTGAGCTTCATCCTCAATTCTTGTGGGCTGTAGTTGATGCATCTAGAACTTTGAGCTATTTCATGTGAATGCTTTAAGTCATTCTGTTTATCAATATGGTGCACAATGTGAGATTTCAGAAGATAGGTGCTATTATATTGGGCATGGGTTTGTGTTTTTGTGCAAGTTATCATGTTGATAGTCTCCAAAATTTTACATGCCTTTTTCTAGTATGAGTCTTCTTGGAGGAAAGTAATTGTCTTCCTATTTGTTAGATTGTTATGCACAATGCCTTCAGAACGTATTGCTCTCATTACTTATAATTTCTCTCAAATTTTTCACCTATTATAAAACGGCATTTTATTTGATATTTTCAAGAAAATCTGAAGTATATCTCTTTTTTGCTTTTCAGGGTAATATTTAATTAGTAGAAAATTTGACTGCATTCCTCCCCCTTTTCTTGTCATTGTTATTTTCTTTTAGGGTGTTTGTTTAATTTGAATGAGTGGTCGGCCTGATTTGGTGCACTGGTTGACCATGTTTGATAATTTCTTTTCTCTATGCACATTTTTTTGTGAGCTTTGTATCAATATATCCCATAAAACTCCTCCAGCTAAGTTGTTTTTAGAGTCAACTCTAGAGTTGGAACACGGTGGCAATGAACATTGATGGCTCATGTTAGTGTCATGACAGTCCTACCATGCTTCAAAAAAGTTGTGTGTATTGTAAATTGTTCAAGATTGTAAATAAATTGAATGCTTCAACATTCATCATTAGACAAGGGTTATTGTGGACCATATATGAGGACATTCATTTCTTTTGGAAAATTTCCTGCTGAATAAAGTTCATGACAAACTTGAAGCATTCTATGGTTGGATAAGACGGCAAACTATATCTTGAGTCAACTTGGTGATATTGCACTAAAGGTTATATTCCTTTCTTTGTTCAAAGTTCTTGAATGGTTAAAAATTTATTGCATGACTTGCTGTGAATTTATAACTTATTTTTTTTATCAGTTTAATGGTTAGATTCCATGTTTTGTGCTTCCTCGGGAACTAAATCAGGTATCTAAGTTCTTGGATGGCAAAAATGTGATTGCATGTTGTTGTTGTGCATTGTTTTAGTTCCCATATATCCGTGTATACTAAATGATAACTACAATAACAAAACTCATCCGCTACCTCTATCTCGAAGGTGAGATCTCATTGTTTTAGTTCCCATATGAATCCTTTTAGTTACAAAAGCACACAGATTGGTAGACAGATGGGACAAAAAAGTTGTTGTCCATAAAGAATTATTGATTTACTTTTTCCTTCTCCAAAGTACCTTTTAATTACATAGGAACCGATTTCTTTGAAGTTACTTTCACATATCACTTTGTTTTCCTCTTGCTACTCTACGAATTGTCATCATATTACTCCATACAACTTCTCTTAGCAGTTTTCCACTTTGGAATGCTAATTGAACATATGCTTTTAATTGGTAAACTCTGTAAATGAATCATACATGGCATGTTGATGAGTGATACAATGCAGAAGGATTGTTAATATTAGAACAACATTCATCAGCTTCTTTTCACATTTCATCCGTATTTTTGGCTCTCCCACATTGACTATGTATCAATGTATTAATGCAATGCTTTGCTTACAGTTTAAGGGCTTGTCTGATTGCGGGAAAGGATAGGAATGAAATAGAATAAAGAAATAAAAATAAAAATAAAAATAAAATAATCAAAATGTGAAGAGAAAATGAGTCAATCATGTTCATGAGGAGAGGAGTAATTTAGTTTATGAGATTTGGAGCTATTATTTATAAAATTTGTGGAGGGTGTGGTGATTCTTACCTTTGTTGTATGTAATATTGGATTTTATCATACTTACCAAATTGGGGAGTGTAATTTAGTTTATTTGTCTTTATTTCTTTATTTCATTCGATTATAATCCTTTCCAATAGCAATAAACTATTTGAGTACTAAAGTATAATAGATATTGACTATAAAATCAACTTGAATAATGTGGGTTTTCCTTTTGATCCAAGAGAGCTTATAGTTCAGTTCATTTAATCATTTTTGAACCATAAATCTTAGAGAATGCCTATTAAACAAATGATGTTACTATATGTTACTGCCTGCAAAGATTAATGGTGTTGCTCGGTGCATGAATATTTAGCAAAAGGTTGTAATTCATGTTTTAAGTTATACTACTATGAAGTTAAATTTTTGTCCTGCCAGAAGTTAGAGGAATTACTGCTACCAATTTAATGCAATACCAAAGCACATGGGGAAAAAAAAAGACCAGTTTTGCATCAAGCCTCAACAGTACTTCAATTGCCATATAGGTATTATTCACCGAAAATTTGATAAAATTAGTTAAGTCTATTTTAGTTTCAGTCTATTGTGCTTGATCAGAAACAGTTATGTTTTTGAAACCATATGGTGGATTCAGACATTCTTTGATTGTTTTTGTTCATTTAATTTGTTGCACGAGAGTTAGAACCTAGTTCCAAAGTAAGCAAACATTAAATTGACAATGGGCCTGTTTAAATTTTAGTTGGGTATAATTAATTATAAAAAAATTAATTAACATGATTGATTTTTATTATAATTTGATTATGTTATAACGTGATAATGTTTGGATATTATTTTTTTAAAATTAATTTTTACATAATTAAAGATGTTTGGATGATTTAGTTAAAATTAATTTTAAATATATAAATTACCACAAAAGGTATTGTTTTTTTAAAATTTAAATATTAATTTCAGGTATATAACATTAAATTTATTAAAATATGTTTACTTAATATAATATTATTAATTTTTAGTCTAAGAATCTACTTTACTATTATTATTTATTTCCCATCTGTTGAAGTAGAATACATAAACCCTTTATAAGAAGCATTTTCTTTTATAATATAAATATTGATAAATTTATGTATAATATTATTAAATATCTTAAATTTTATTTAACAAATAATATTATATATATTTATATATACTTATATAATAGGGGCAAAAGATGCGGCGCCTCTATGTTCTATGCAAGGAAGGTTTTTTAAGTGACGCAAGATAAGTTTAGTTTAGTTCCCCGCTAGGGGATATATTTGATAATTTCACATTTCTAACCAAATAATAAAGGTTCAACAACTAGAATTAAAAATTGAAAGCAAGTCAAATTAACTTATGTCTAAACAGAGTTTTTGGATCAAAATTGATTTTTCAAAAAAGGAGTGTTTGGATATTTTTTGTCAAAATCATGGTTTGGGTTGATATAATTGATTATCTGAGCTTATCCAAACTGGTGCAATATTGTTAACCATCTACTTCCAAACTAATTTTGAAGTCCACGTTTGTTTGTTTGTTTGTTTTTTTTTTTTTGAACTTTTCTCTGACAAAATAGGGAGATCTTGGAGGGAAAGTGCTACTTCCAAAATTATGCTTAAACATTCTTATACTTCCCACACTTTCACCTATCAATTTTGTTGTACTCTGTTGTAGTTTAAAATTTATATTATTGTATTTTTAATAATTCTAGAAATAAAATTTAAAACGAGATAAAATAATTTGCAATTATATTTTCATTCCTTTAGTAATATATATTGTAAATTATATAAATAATATGTTAAAACATTGATTTTTATTATATATAAATATTTTTTACAAGTAGTAAGGTTGTTATTATCAGTATGAAATTGAATTTTTCCTTTCTCCTAGTTTTATCTTGCTTTGCCAGCTTAATGAGAAAATTATAGGATTTCCTTATTATTTGTTTTCCGAACACTTTGAAAGTATATTTTTTTTGTCATTTATTCTGTAGATAAAATACTTAAAGTTTTGAAAAATGAAAGAAACTACAATATATATTTTTTAGTGCTTTGTTACCTTTTATTATGCAATTGATGGGACTTGCCACTTACCCCTCAAACTAATTGTAGAACTAACCTAAATGTAATCTTTAGGCTAATCCAAGGTCTTCTCACAAGAAGGTGATCTAAGCTTGTTAGGCAAGTAAACTAGATGAATAAATTAAGTAAATGATTGGAGTTGTTAACTAATTAAATAATAAATTAAACTTGAAACCTAACATAAAGTGTGTGATGAACTTTTTATTGAAGTAGGTACCTAGAATTAGACTGGGATTTAAATCATGACCAATGTACAAGTAACTGTG